TGCCGGCTCAGAATGCAGGGAGGGGGGGAGGAACTCCTCTACAGCTGCTCCGGAGTCCAGCCCGTGACTTTCCTGCAGCCCTCACAGACACTCGCTCGCTCTGCCGGGGGAGGGGGGAAATCCCGGACATTTTGAGTGATTTACAAATTCCCCCCGGACGCTATTTTTAGCACAAAAAGGAGGACATGTCCGGGTAAATCCGGACGAATGGTAACCCTAGTGTCTCTGAGCCTAATAAGCCAGGTGACACTCCGCCAGCGCTGTGTGTAATAAACTCCTATGCTTGACCTCTACACGATGTGGATTTATGTCCTTCAATAAACATGACTGAGATACTAAAGAACTCATAGTTATATGTAGTTAAAATTTCCTGTATTGTTCCATGGTGCGATGGTTCAGCCTCAACCGTGCTTGTTTCCCCATCTGTAGAAGGTTAAAGATTACATCCTCCTCCCAGCCAAAATATTGTGTCTGAAGCAGATTTCAGGCAGTAATAGACCTTTAGGGTCACCACTTTGTTGTAGGTTTAAAATTAGCATTTTGAAATAAGTAAAAGAATTAAATAATTGTTTTCTCTTGCATTGCAATTTGATGTTCCTATTCAAATATTCTGTGTAAATCAATCCTGTTTTGTGCATGAATGAGGAGTGTGTGTGTTAGAAGATAAGTGTGAAGGCCATCACCGGACCAAATGTTCTAGGGAGGACAGACATACAGGCACCAGGAGATTACAACATGCCTCTATTGAGATGTGAAAGGAGCGCAGATTGACAACTCTAAAAAATAAGGCAAGCATCTATCAATTGGGACAAGATAGCTGTGATCAAAACCAGCATGGGGTAATTCACCGAGAGACTGATGAAGGAATAAAATAAGAAATAAGAACAATTTTAGAAAACAAGCACTCATCAAACAGCAATTGATTACAGCATGATGATGCAAAACTCATTAGTCCCAATGAAGTTAGATCACTATATAAACAGGGTGCTTTGCCATGAAATTTTGGGTTTGTCCTGCCAAGACTTCCCCGGAGCATCGTATCACAACCGACAGAACCGACAGAATCCTCCCTACCTGTGATCAACTTAGCTGGCCACTAGGTTGCTCAGGACTCTGTACTGGTAAGTACAACATCTACTGGTGACATAGTGAGAGTGTGATTGAATGCATATGCTAATTGTTGTATCTCTAATAAACGTGGCGTATTGCCCTTTCCCCTGAAAAAGATCCTGTGTGCTTCTTATAAGCATAACACAGTAGGGGTGGGATAGTGGAAGAAACAGGGGAAGGGAGGCATTCTGGGGAATACATTTTCAATGCCCAAGTGGGTCTTTGCAAACTTGTCAATATGATGTATTTATGTATTTTTAATCACACCTCCAGCTGCACCAAATAGCACATAGGGCAGCACATTCTGCAAACAAAGGTAAGAGACTACAATTCCCCTGCTGCATCAAGGAACACTGCACTAGAAACACAAGTGAGAAGCAGCAGCAGCTTTAAGTCCTTGTTCCACACACACACACACACACACACACACACACACACACACACACACACAACTAACTACGTACGTAACGAA